CCCAATTGTACAGTCTCCAGAATTTCCTATCATTCGATGCAACATGCAAATAATCGATCCACGCAATTAATATACTGCATTCAGTACGCTTTAAATAGTTCGACTGTCATGAACCATAAGATTGGTTTGAAAAGATTCACAGATCCTCTCAGATTATCAACCCGATGGTAATTGTACATTTGGAAAGAACCCCTTAAATTCCCAGTTTCAAAGATTTGAGAGAGTTTTCAATTACAAAATAACTCGCCGATTTGGGAATAACTTCAAAGAATTGTAGAAAGTCAGTCATTACCATTTTTCTTTCTTTTTTATTTTCTATTTTTTTCGGCAAGGTGATGGACTTTGGACTTAAAATTCAGACGAGTTCATGGTTAAGCCCTTAACTGTCACTGTGTTAGCCGTCAACGATATTTCGGGTAACCTTGAGTGACCTTACCTTAAGAGAGTCAATATTTATTTTTACTTTGCGAGAGAACAAGAATTGCTGCGATTCAGTTGTGTGACAAGAGGCGAAAAGGACATGCAGATTAAATAACCACGCTTCATTGAGTTCTCGACATCACAAAAATGGCGCCGTCTCCCTTGACTGCAATATACGATTTTCTCAGCCTTGGTAACGTCTTTCTACTGTTTATTTCGCTTTTAATGTTACATTACTTTATGGTTTTGTTCGAATTCAGGAACATGCCTCCAGGTCCTCGCTTCACGACTATCCCAGTCCTTGGAAACTTGTTGTCGCTTGACCCCTCGGCCGAGACATTGTCAAACATCTTTAAAAGGTAAGTTATTTTTGCTGTATGGCTTCGGGAATCAATCGGTTTTAGCCCATATGATCTACAGGCAGATGTCCAACGAGTAACAGGCGTAGAAGTCAGTTCTGGCTGACCTCTCATAAAGAAGAATGCATGATACCAAGCTGGAGTAATTTTAATGCAACGATACTCATGGGCAACTCGAAAATTCTAACATTTATGACCGCTTTTAGTTTTTTTGGTGGCATAAGCCTTTGCAGAGTCCAGAACGAATCAATCCTTACTTGTGGACTCACATTTAGTGCTACTGGGAGACATGATAATCGAATTGCTCGAACGACCTAAGCAAAAAGGTGAAGATGAGAAATGCATCTTATACATACTAATCAGTATTTCCAATGATAATACGCAGCGTAAATCATTGTTTAGTATGTGAACATTTAAGGTTCCTAGCTTCAAAGCTAACCTGTTGATTCTGAATTAGCTTCATGTACTTCCCTTAAAAAAGATATTCCAAGCAAACAATTACACCACCTCAGACTCAGACCTGTGTCGACTTGTATTACAACCAAAACCATTTGACACCCAAATAAAAACTTATCGGCCCTAACGGCTTCTTTGTTGAATTTTTAGCCTCACTAAAAACTATGGCCCGATATTCTCCTTGAAAATGGGCAGTTACAAGTTTGTTATGGCATCCTCTCGCGAAGCTGTTCATGAAATGTTAGTAAAAAAATCTGCTGATTACGCAGGAAGACCGCAAACCTATGCCTTCTATACACAAACCTTAGGTAAGTTAGTAGGCAGTAAAGTTAGCGATATTTTCATTAGTACGCAAATGGTGTATTTTTGCAGCTTGTTTGATCACGTCACCCAAGAAGCTCTCCCCGAGAGAACACATTGCGTGACGAGAAGTAACAAAGCGTGACGAGACGTGTCGAGACATGTCGAGACGTGCCGAGATCTTACATCTTACATGCGTACAAGTACTAGCCATCCTTTAGGTCTGATTGCCATCGTCAATCAAGAGCCACAGCATAACGGCAATGTCTCTCGTCTTCGGCTGTTATTATCTATCTGGCCCACATTTTATGTTGGTCGGGTAATTTGAGTCAATAATGGTATATCCTGTCTATTGAGACTACAAAGAAAGACTGTAGGGAGAGACGAGGAGGCGGGTTAGTCAATGGCTGGTATTCGAGTGAGACCTTATATGCACGAGGATTACTCCTGGATGAAAAGACTTGCCTGCAGAGAATGCAGGGATAGGCATCCGGGAGAGGGGCAGCGTGTTCCTTCCTTTTTCTTTTGTCTGTGATGGTTGTAATTAACTAACTGTTCTTCAAGAGATAATGTTGATGTCACAGCTTTTTTAAGTTGGCCTCGAAATGTCTTTGTATCTTTTGAGTGGCCGTTCACGGGTACTTGTCCCAAAGTGGGAG